AAATTAAATATAGTGTAGGTAATGAATTATATTGTTTTGCTAATGAGTTTACTAAATTATTAAGAGTGTTATCAAAATGATCTTGTACTTTGTGAAAGGTAATCTGGTAATTATAAAATTTGATAATATTAAGCAGAGTATGTCATATAGGCCATGAACTAAATTTAAAAAGCTTTTTAGAATTTAAGAAAATAGTATATATTTTAGAATATTTAGTAATTATAGACTAAAAATTAGTGAAGATATTAATTGTTGAGTTACAAAGAGTAATTGAAACAGCTGAAAGAATTGACATTAGTTTAGCTTTGTAAAAGAATGGCCAGAAATAGATTTTAGCTAAGAATTTGTAAATAATTTGGTTAAGATTATTAACTTGTACTTATCCAATACCTATTGTATATTAATCTGTACTAATGTCAATTATAGAGTCATCAGTATAGAAATTAAATGTATTTTGTATTGTATTGATAAAAGGATATTGCTCAAGTATACTTGTAGCTTCTTTTGCTTAAAAATTTCTAATATAGGAAAATCAGAAATATAAATAGTAGAGGCAGAAGGTAAGGATAATAAATACTTAATTACAGTTAAATAAATCAGATTAATATAGTTTGCATTAAAGTTAATTGCATTAGAGAAAATTTTTCCAAAAAATTAAGTAGAGATTATTGATAGTACATTAATTGTAAAAAAATTTGCAACTAAGGCTCATAAGTTGATAGCATAATAGTTAGGCTCTTGGGTCTCAATTACAAGGTCACAAGATTGAGTTCAGAAAGTGACAAAAGCTTTACAGAAGATTTCTATTTAAAAAGCAAAAACAAAGTTTATAAAAAAAAGAATGCAATAACTGGCATAGCTACAAGGTTGAGAACAACCAGATAAGGCATAATTCATCAACAAATAATATTAACATTGAGAGAACCTGATTTAAGAACATGTATAATTAAGAATATTGAAATTTACAGATGATCTAGCTGGTGGGTCATATGAAGTTAGAAAACTGCAAACTGAAGAAGTTAGTAAGTTCTATACTATAGAGACCTAAAATGTCATAATGAAACATAAGTTATCTTACAATACAGTAATATATAGAGGCCACACACTATTTGATAATCTTTGCAGAATGATAATTCTGGCTTTTAAGAGATATAACATATTCTAAAAATATTTAAGGACCTTCAGAATAGTAAAAGAAGATAAAGATAAAAAAAAAATTTGCAACTCTATAAGAATTAAGATAGCAATCTGTACAAAATAAACATTGAATTAGTGGAAGAAAGTAGTGAGTAGAAAGTTCTGTATTGATATTTAGTTTTTAATATATAATAAATATTTGATTGTCATTTTTAAAATATCTGTAAATTTTGCTAATAATAATAATATTATTATTGTATATAAGTAACTAGAGTTTAAGTTTTTTAGAAATATATTAGAAGTTATAGGCAAAAAGATTGTGTTCAGTTTGTTGATATTATGAAAGTAGTATTCTGAAACTATTGTTAGTAATTATAGTATTTTCTAGATATATAAACCAAGATGGTTTATATCCTTTAGATAGCTGTACTAAGTGAGATGAAAGGTAATTTCATTAAAGTAGAATAGTATTATTTATAATATAGAGTTGCTCAAAATATAAGATATTAAGTTTTTTAAGTTGTTTATTAAAAGTCATGCATTAAGAGTAAGAAAACATAATTAGTTCTAATAATTAAAAATTGTATTGTATAGTATTAGGCCAGGATACACTATTATTGGCTGTTATAGATATATTAATGTGTATAATAAGTTAGATAATTTTAAAGTTTAAAGTATATCTATTAGGTTTATCAATATTAGATTGGAAATATTGAAGTATATTTGTAGTTAATCAGAGATTATTTTGTAATTATTGTAGTTAAATATATGTGGAAGTTTCTAGTAAATAAGAGTTGTTAATTTATAAAATAAAGTTAGATATATGATGTTGAAGTTAAATGTCTTAGATATTGTATATATTATATAGAAATAAATTAAGCATAGTGCTGTTTAAAATAGAATAGGCTAGATGAGATTTATGTTTAGCTACAGTTAGATATTTAGCTAAAATTTTGTTATATACAGAATAAGAAAAGACTATATTATATATTTGGTATTTTAGTATAAGAATAATAACTATGTTAATAATATATATTATTTATTTATCTGTAATTTTTTTGATACTAGCAATATTTGTAAGTTAAAATGTTTTTTTTTAAATTAGTTTGATTTGTGCAGTTTGTTTGTTATTATGTTTAAACTAGCAGCTAAGAATTTAAAAATTTGATTAACTAGAATAAATATAAATATAAAATTAAAGAATTGGATAGTAGTTTGGAGTTGATTAGATATAAATATAGATTTGAAGAAGTTAATTTAACATTGGCATTTTTTAAAAGAATGTTGCAGTTTGAAGTATTTGTTCAAGTTCTAATTTGGATTGATATATTTAAAGTATATTATTCATATAGGCTAAAACAGAGGTAGATGTTGTAGACATTAAGAGTTTTATATATTTTTAACTATAACTTTTGATGTACTAAACCAATTTGGATGAAAAACCACCATTAGATTCAGCTTACTGAGATGGTTCTAATGAATATAAAATCATATAATTCTAATTACAAGATCATGAAATTAGGATAACTTTAATGAAAAGCACTAATTCTAATACATGTAATTTGATTCTGATTGGCTCATATTATTGTACCAGAATTCAACATTTCTAACAAATCTATTAGATCTAACTTATCTAATATATCTAACAGATATTATATATTTATTATATTTATTATTTTCTATTATATCTTTTATATTTATTATATATATTATATCTATTATATCTATTAGTTCTTATATATCTTAATATTACTATATATAGCATTTATTAGCAATAGAGTAGTCTTTATTGTAATAATTTATATATATATAATATCTATAAAAGCATTACTTTTTGACTTTTTAAGAAAGTTAAGTGTTTTCATATATTTCAATAGTAAATAAACTAAATATAATATTTAGTATCTTCATATATTATTTATTGTTGCCTCTGTCTTGAAATTCCAAATCTCTCTGTATTTTGTTAAGACTTGTATAGACTTTGTATAGAATCTGTTAAGTTATAGTTGTCATAATATAGTTGAGCAGCTTATGTTATTACTATGAAAAAAGGAAAAACTACAGATTAACATTTTGGTAGTAACTATAAGATAAAGTTTTCAATTTACTATAGATAATCAATTTTAGTTAGTATAAGGGAACTCTGTCAATATTGTCTATTTAATTTGAAATTTGAAGAGTATATATTTGAAAACCTATCACATCTTTTTTACTAAGTGTATTTTAGTGAGAAAATCTCTCTGAAATCTGCTATTCAATGTCAAAGTAGTGATGCCATTTTTGATCTGCAAAGAATTTATAAGAAATTACTCTTGAGGAAACATTTCGACTATTGTTATGTAAACTTTAAATATCCATATCTCAACAATCACTAGACTGATTTTAGTGTTTTGACCTCCTTAAGGACTGAAAGAATTCCCTTTACAACTTTCTCTTAAGTAACAAAACCTATTATCATAGTAACTTTAAGAAATATTTGCTAATTTCAAATAAATTAGAATTTAGAAGTGAAAGTATAAGTGTTTGCATTATGACAAACAGCTTTTAAATTGATAGTACATGCAATTCAACTTTAAAAAATATTTATTAAAAGTATTTATATATACTCAAGAACATACCACTAGTGCTACAAATCGAAAGTTGAAAAATTGATTAATTGATCAAGTTGACAACTAATCGATTCCATTTTACTAAACCAACTAAATCAATTAGTTGATTAGTTGATTAGTTAACTAAATTAATTAGTTGATTAGTCGATTAGTTGACTAATCAATTGGTTGATTAATCGATTAGTTGATTAATTAATTAGTTAATTAATTGATTAATTGACTAATTAATTGGTCCAATAGTCAATTGGTCAACTTGCTAATACTAATCAATTTTTGACTAATCAGATTAGTTAACCAATCGAATAATCATTTAGTTTTGACAACTAAATCGATTGCAAAATTTTTATTGATTTGTATCACTAATTATATAATTATACTAATATAATGATATATTTTATTTTCAAAATAAACTTGGTCTATACTTCAGGTATCTTTGTATGTACAAAATTTTCTTAATTCAACTTTCATCTATGTATTAAGGCTCAGTATTAATGTATTTGTCATTTAAAAAACTTTCTTTCAAAAAAAAAAGCATTACAGATTACAGTAAGTAGAAATATTTATTATTAAAAGTCTAGGATGTTTACAAAAAATTTAATTCCATACTATATATTTATATATTTTTTTTACTTTCCTATATTGTTCTTCATATCTTATACCTGAGCTATATAAACATGATCTGATTGGGTATGTTACTTTATTCTCTATTATATATTTCCTATAGTGTACAGTATATATGAATATTTAGTAAAAAAAAGATGCCAATAAAAAAAAATATATATATAAGAAATAAATAATTGTTAATTGTTATATATATCTCTAAAAAAAAGGAACAATAAAAATTTTTTCTTTATATTTAAACTATCATGGTACTAACAATTATTTTCTATTTTATTTATTTAAGAGAAGAAAAATTTTGACATATAGTAAATTTTACTTTAAAAACAATAACTTGTCTACAAGATGTGAATCCAATTAAATTTTTTTTGGAGTAATGTGGTTTTTGGCATCTGAAAATAGCCTTTCTGATGGAACAGAGAAGGTGAGAATTGCAAGATACTTTTTTGCATGAATAGAGAGAATTGAAAATTAAGTCTTTTACTTATTCCACTAGTCTAATAAATTATTTTCTTCTGTTTGATCTATCTTAGGAAGTGAAAGGTATTTATTAATTTCACTGTAATTAAAAGATTCATATCATGTCAAATTGATGAAAAAAAACTTTTTATAGCAGATTTTTTTTTTGTAATTTGTTCTGTTGAACTTGTATTAGAAGTTGTTGCTTGATTAATTTGCCTATTTAGCTTATTAAATTGATCTTTTAGTTTTTCAATAGTTTGTCTTTGTAATGACTATTATAATTTAATATAAGAGTAAAACTAAATTACACATATTAAAATTTTTATTTTATTTTATTTTTATATTTACACTAGAGTGAAAGGATAGGTTTTTGAATTTTGGATCGAGAAAAGATGCATATAAGCCATATTCATATAGTAATGACCATCTGCTTGATAAATTATCAAGAATGATATCTTTTACTTCATTTATAATATCAGATTCACTATTTGTCTGATTTAAACAATTAATTAATTCTTCAATTGTTGGTACTATAATACACAAAATAGCATAATTAGAACCTGATAGAATCTTAGTTGCTTTATTAAATAGATATAAAAGATCAACAAGGTCATGTATAATTTGAAACTCTTCATTAGAAAGCATCTTGTCTCAAATATTACTATCATCATGTTGGTGATCAATATTTAAAGAATTTTCAAGATCATTAACTAACCATCTAATTGGCCTTTCAAGTTTTATAAGTCTTTTTAATACTATATAGATTAAGTTCTATCTGGTTTCTATGTCTTGAATTACATCAATAGTTTTAGATTTTTTTTTGCCAGTACTTATTTGAGCAGCTTGTAGTTGTTTATGCTTTTTTTCTTCACCCAAAAGTCAAATTAATGCTTTACATTTTACTACTAGATTATGTACAATATCTAAGCTTGCATTAATACTTAATTGTAATATATATGCTGCACAGAAGATGTTGACAATAGGCTTTGATAGTGAAATTTTGTTCGAAAGTTGTGCAACAGCTGCTTTAACATTTGAACTATTATCTGTAGTAATACTTATCAGTTTGCTTCTACTAATACCAAATTCTTCTAATACTAGTTCAATAGTACTTACAATATTATAGACAGTTTTATACTCACTGATCTTAGTTATACTTAATGTAAAATTATATATTTTAAATTCTTCTGAGATCCAATAGCATGTAATGCCTAAATAAAAATCATGTGCTTGGAAAGTCCATAAGTCAAAGATGAGTAATATCATATCAGCTTGGGTGTTAATCATATATTTAATAGCTTGTGTTATATAAAAAGCTGCATCTAAGACTTCATGTTTGAGTAGATTAATACAAGATGGTTATGTTGAGAATTAAATGAATTTAAAAAAGTATAAAAATTCTCATTTTCTATTAAAGATAAAGGAAGGATACAAGTAAGAAAAAATTTAACTATATCCTGAGTAAGTTTTTGTTGTCATTGTTTAGAATGTGGTTTTGACAAAACTGTTTTAAGTTTCTTTTATAATGGTTTTTTAAGTTCTTCAATTAGTTTATTTTCAAAAGACATTTTTGTGATATAGTGGATGTCACAGAGGTGTTAATCATATTAAACGTTGAACTATGCTAGGTATACTCTGTATCACAACCTTCAATTAATCATTGAACTTTTGTTACTATCTCTTCATCTTCTTTATATTCAATAAGTTTAAAAAATGACCAAATAAAACTATCCTTAGAGTTTTTTTTATTATATCAACTTTTTTTTAGTTTTTTTTATGAAGTCAATTGGGAATATGAATCAGTAATATTCTTCTGATTAATACATCTTACTTTATTTCTAGTTGATAAATTATTTGAACCAAAGCTTGTTGTATCTATTCTTTTAGATGAACTACTAGCACTAGAGATTGAGGCTATTATCATAGTATTGATAACTACTACACAATGAAAAACTTCACTTTTTATAATTTTAAGCAAATATAATTGCAAGTTAATGATCATCTGCATGTTGTTTTTTGAATATATTTAGATAGATAGATAGATATTATACAAGATGCATTTTATCTTATAGTTTCTATAGATATAATTTCAAATTATATATTATTTTAATAAACTCAATTTTTTTTTTGCAATAATAATGTATAGTTTAGCTCTATAAAGGTTTTACTATCTTATTATCTTCTTTTAGAATTTTGGAGCAATATGATAAGTATAGATATTATATATATATATGCTTAAAAATTCTTTTAACAATCTATTATCTTCTATATTTGGAGTTTTGGACAGAGCAATATGATAAGTATAGATACTGTATATTGTTAACCTACAAAAACGACCATAACTCTTGAACCACTGTACAGAATTCGATGAAACCACCACCATTCGAATCAGCTCACTGAGACGGTTCTAATAAGGTATAGATTATCCATTTCTGATCACAGAATCACAAGATCAAATCTGATAACCAAATTAATAAGAAAGCTGCGATCTGATTGGTTGATGATAACTGTGCAAAATATCATACATATAACATATATCAAATATATGCATTTTGAAGCATCTATATTTTATATTATCTTTAGTTTAC